ATTTATTCTCTATTATGTATCATATACAATATTGTAGTTATAATAAAGATTAAGCAATCATTTTGAAAGTATAACTTCATTAAAAAGTAGAGATTAAAATTTAGTGTTTAAGAATTCTAATACATATAAACAAAACTAAAAAAATTTTTTTTTTCCTTAGCATAGTTTATTTATAAAATTTAAAAGTCTTATAATACTTACCACTAGATAATATGAGCTCTACAACTTAAAAGGAAAATAGATAACTTAGCAATATAATAAGTTTTCATAATTTTAAGGCTAATTAAGCAAGACTGAATCTTTAAAAAGGACAAAAAACTTAGTATATCAGTTACTATTTGTCCCTTAAATATTAGATTTATTTTGGTTAATTATTTTGTGTATATTTTTTTAATGAATTTACACTGTAATCATAGTTACTTTTAAATTATCTTAATTTATAACCTTTACCATAAGTATTATAATGATCAGAAATCATTTTTTCTAAAACAGATAAATTAGCTTTATTATTTATATTTAAATTAGAGTTTTCTAAAATAGATTTACCTACTTCGCAGCCTAGGCGACTCCTTGAGGCTGCAAAGCAGCCGGAAGTCGCCGCCAAGGCTAACGAAATATTTAACCTTACATATAAAATATCTTGACTTATTTCTCTATACATATTATCTAGATCTACATTAAAATCTGGGAGATAAATATCACGACCAAATTTCTCATTAATTGGTTCTATAAGATTAAATTGTCTATTTACTCAATAAACATATGCTTCTCTATATTCACCCCTAAATATCTATTATTAATATAACTTCAGGCTTTTTTTAATATATTGTATTCTCAGATAATATAAAACCCATAAAAAATTTCTGAAAGAGGTTTCCCCTCTCAGTACTGCGTTAAACATTTGTCTCAAAACGTGACTATACCCCCCCCTTTTTTTTATTGCGTAGCCCTGTTAAAATATATAAATTCCCATTTTAGATTCGAACTAAAATCAGGATATTAGAAGTATCCTGCTCTACCGTTGAGCTAATGAGAATTGAGAACATTAAATTCTCTTAATCAAGGATAAGTAGTAATTATCCCCGTTATATCTTTTTTAAAAATTAAGAACATTCAATCTCTTGAAATTTAACTCAATAATGTTATTGTCTAAAGTGGACTATTAAATCCAACCTTTTATTATGAAACGTAAAGTATTTTTATCTTAAAAAACTTTACACTTAATTTTTCAGGAAATAAGTTCAATATTCTAAATATAAAATAAAAAAAAAATAAACAATCCTTAAATACATTCTAAAATAAAAAATAGTATTTAGCTTAATCTTGTCTACTACAAATTATTCACTATATTATAAAAAAAAATATCTTTCTATTACTAAAAACACTATAATAATATATTAAGAATATATTCTAATATTCTAATTATATATGTTTGTGAATAGATTAGATTATAATTTTGATGTATAGGTCCCCTTAAATTATCTATTCCAATGTTAGTATATACTAAAGGATCATACCTTCTATGCATATAGAATCATGCATTATTAAAGGGTCAGTATATATCTCTTGGTAGGTGGGGTAAAGTAAAATAAGGTAATCTAGTTACTTCCAGATCTCATAAAGGAATTGTCCTAAATTGGTTATACATTCTATTTAGCATAGTTACTACTATTCTTAAAGAATGAGTCAATAGAACCACTCTATAATAAGCAGGTAAATTATATAAATCTATCCTTTCTTCTAAAGAATTTAATAGAGTGTTTAATCTTGAGAGATTTCCATTAGAAAAAACTGATATACGGTTAAGGATATTTGGACTACCTGTAGCAGTACTCCACCCGTTAAAAAGTCGTATATCTTCCAGTAATTGTCTAAGTATTTGTGTTAACATTGCTAATTCATCTTTAGTCAAAAAAGAACTACTAGGAGGTGATAGTGGAAAGTTTCGAGGGTTTTTTTTGTTAAATTCATCTTCATCATCCTCACCACCCCCATTATTACCACCACTTGAAGTAGAAGCATACATGGGTCTATTAACATCATTATTACTAGAAACTCTAGAAGAATTTTGATTAAAAGAACCTCTAGAAGAATTTTGTCCACTTGGTGTAGATTTAATATACATTATTAATTTCTCTCAAAATTTACTCATAATTCCTTTTAATTTTTGAAATATTTTATTGATAAAGGGTATAAGGTGATTAGATATTAAAACAAAGCAACCTACAGATAATATACCTTTAATACAAATAGAATAAGATCCCATAGAATTCAAAAAATGCATAGAACTGGATAAAGCTTTGGTAGTAAAAGGATCAAAATGAAATATTTTATCTGATACCCCCTTAGATGTATAATGTTCAACAAAGGATGCAACTGTTGAATATTTATTGGATAATGTTCCATTAAAATTCATTTTAAAGGTTGATATTATATCATATATATCTCTTATACGTTCAATAGAGTGATGTCTAAATGAATGTTCTATACAAACTATTTTATCATTTGTAGCATAGATCTGTTTAAATTGGATAAAATATCTATCCTCATAAACTATTATAGGGGTAGCTATTATTTGACCATAGGCAAAACTCCTGATTGTAATACATTATTTGATGTATAAGAATCCTTTGATTTATAAGAATAATTACTCATAAAACTAAATATTGTTATAAATAATAATAACACTAAATCCATATTAAATTGTACTAAGTAGAAAGCAATTAATAAATATAAAATAACACCCATTAAGATATACAACGCATAACTTGTTACAACACCTGTATTTAAAGATGCTATATTTTTACTTAATTTAACTAATCCTACTTCTAAACCATGAGGTCCTAAGAATTCTATACTTCCTTTATCTAAAACTTTTGTTGTTTGTCCACCTAAATTTAAAACTAAATTAGTTACATATTTGTTATAGAACATTTCAACTAAGAATCTTTGATTAAAGAAACCGAATATATTATAACCTAATTTTGAAAATTTGAAGCTAATTAAAGATTCAGGTAAAAATTCAGAAGCTACAAAAGCTAAAATACTAAATGATATAGTAAATATTAAAGGTAATAATTTAAATAAAGCAGGAACTGCAAATTCAGTATCTATCATTATTTCATGTACAGGATGTATGAAAATACTATTATCTATAAAGAAACTAGAACCTAATCCTATAAAGATATCTTTAGTAATATAACCAAAGAATATAGAGAAAATAGCTAATATTACTAAAGGTAAACTTAAGAAAATATCTCCTTCATGAGCATGTTTGTAATAAGCTAGAGGTCCATTAGGATTAGTTAAGAAAGTTAAGTATAAAACCTTAACTGAATATAAAGTTGTAAATATTGCACCTATTACTGCTATAACATAAACAGCTATACTACTAAAATAGTATTGACCGAAAGCAGATTCTAAAATAAAATCTTTACTATAGAACCCTGTCATAAAAGGGAAAGCAACTAAACTAAGGCTTGCTATTAATATAACAGAGTATGTTAAAGGTAAAAATGATATTAACCCTCCGTATTTTCTAAAATCCTGGTTATCTGCAACAGCATGAATAACTGCACCTGCTCCTAAGAATAGTAATCCTTTATAGAAGGCATGATTAACTAAATGGAATAATGCTATATTATAAGAAGATAAACCTATAGCTATAACCATCATACCAAGTTGAGACATAGTAGAATAAGCAATAACTTTTTTAATATCTTGTTGGAATAATCCTACAAGAGAACTAAAAACAGTAGTAATAGCTCCTAATCATAAACATAATAATAATATAGTAGAACTATATTCTATTAAAGGTGATGAACGTATTAATAGATATACACCAGCTGTAACCATAGTAGCAGCGTGTATTAATGCAGAAACAGGAGTAGGACCCTCCATCGCCATAGGTAATCAAACGTGAAGACCTACTTGTGAACTTTTAGCCATAGCACCTATTAATAAACATATTCCAATTATAGTAATTACGTTTTCATTCATGTATGGTGCTAATGAAAATACTGTAGCATAATCTAAATTACCTAAACTTCATAAAATAGCAAACATTCCTATTGTTAAAAAGCAATCACCAACTCTATTAGTTAAGAATGCAGAAACAGAACTTTGGTTTGCTGCTATTCTAGTAAATCAGAAACTTACTAATAAATAAGAACAAACACCGACACCTTCTCAACCTACAAACATTAATAAATAATTATTTGCTGTTACTAATATAATCATCATAAAAGTAAACAAGCTTAAATAACTAAAAAATCTTTGTACGTGTGGGTCGTTGCTCATATATGAAATTGAATAAATATGAACTAAAGAACTAATAATTAACACAGGTATTAACATACTTACTGTTAAACTATCAAATTCAAAACCTCATATTATATTAAATCATTCGCTATCTATTCATCTAAATAATTCAATAGATACTGGTATATTATTGAACCCTACTTCAAAAAAAGCGATAATTGCTAATATTGTTGTGAATATTACACTAGAAGATGTAATAAACTGTGCTCCGCTAACTCCAACTTTTCTACCAAAAAAGCCAGCAACTATTGATCCTAACAAAGGTAAAATTATTATACTTAAATACATTATTTATATTCTATTGCTATACTTCCTCTTAATCTGTAAAAAGCAACTAAAATACCCAAACCTATAGCAGATTCAGCACCTGCTACTGCTATTATGTAAATAGCATAAGTTTGTCCTATTATGTCATCAATGTTAAGTGAACTTACCAATATTAAAAATGTTATAGATAATAGCATTATTTCAATTGAAATAAGCATTAATATAATATTTTTTCTATTTAACACAAATCCTAAAATTCCTATTAAAAAAAGTATTAGTGTGATATTCATTATATATTTATTTTTAGTTAAATTATTGTAAAATTAATAAACAGTCTATACGAATAAAGCCCCACCTCCGCTTTATTAATAATATACGCCTTATAGATATACTTCCTACTGTTTAATTTAGAATAAATAATGGGAGACTCGAACACCCAACCTTCCGTAGATAAAACGGTCGCTCTACCTGTTGAGCTAATTTCTTTTAAAATAGTTGCTCTAAAGCAAATCTAAATTAACTTTTTTGAATTTAGAATTCTTTTGGCACTACCTTGGCCGAAAGAATAAGCTAAATTAAAGTAATAAATATTTCTAGTAAATATCTTATTAAATGTATTTATTTAAGAAAAATTTTACTATAAAAATGTATTAAATATACATCAATTAGGCCTTAAACTAATGTTATTTAGGACTAGTCTTGCTTATAACATTTATTAAATCATTGGTAGCATGGGGGTAATTTCGACCAGGCGTAACTAAACGATCCTGACCACTAGGTGTTATATAGTACTCATAATATGGTGACCCAGCCTTTATATAACGAGTAACTAATTCTGTAGCTTGTTTTTCACTCAATTTACAGTTTTCAGAGTGTAGTGGACTAAAAATTGAACGTCTACTTCCCTGAGAGTTTTGCTCTTTTAATCTAGTTAAAAGCTCGTCCCGAGGAGGAGCAGATTGAGACGCTTGAATTAAGTTATTGTCTATGTGAGTACCTGATAATGAATTGATTCCATTGTCACCATTACTAGCTGTTAAAGAACTAAATAAATTATTATCTGGATTTGAATGAAAAGAAGGATCTATTAAACATAAGTTTAAAGAATCTGTTATTGTTCCTCTAGTCAAGTCAAAAATTTCTCCAAAGAAACTGATTCAATAACAATCGGCATCGAACTGTGTAAAATTCCACATATCTCAGAACATTGACCATAGAATACACCTTCTCTATTAATAAAAACAGATACTTGATTTAATCTACCAGGGTATGCATCACATTTTATACCTAAAGCAGGGCAAGCAAAAGAATGTATAACATCACCAGAAGTGATGATGAATCTAACATGTGTTAATTCAGGAAGGATAACTCTATTATCAACTTCTAACATTCTTAAAGCTCCGTCTTCTAAATCAGATTCAGGTACTAAATATGAATCAAATTCTATAAATTCTTCATCTGTATTTAAAAAGTCAGGGTATTGGTAGCTTCAGTATCATTGGTGACCTTCTGCTAAAACAGACATTGAAGAATCATTAACTTCATCCATTAAGTATAATAATTTGAATGAAGGGAATGCTATTAATATTAATATTACTGCAGGAGTAATTGTTCATATTAACTCTATAAGTGTCGAAAAAAACATAAGTACTTTCATACTTAACCGGACTATATCTTACCTTTTATAAGGTTTCCACGTTTAGTCTCTGAGGATCCTACTTAAGTACTTAATACTTGTTGGTTTCCTGCTGATAATCCATTGTACATCCTTTAGGGTTATCACTGATAAAGTTTATATTAATTATCTTTATAGTACCTAAAGGCTTTAGGAGTTTCCAGCATATAGTGAAATTTTACTCATAGTTTTTTTAAGTTTATTCAGGAGATCCTCCTGTGAATTTGTATCTGTCTTTAAAGATTTTCCCTGAGTTTATATAAAGTTTTATACTATTACTACTAATATCTAAAAATTTAGCAGCTCTTCTTATTGAAACAAAGCTACCTATTAATTTAAATCCTTCTGTATCACATTTTTCGTAAATATTCACAGAATAACCTCTAACAGTACTCATCTTTAATAAAGTTTCTTCAGTATGTTTTCTTCCTAAGGCTTTTTTTCTCATTAATTCTTTGCTTTCTTCAGTATGAATTTTACCTAAATTATTTATTTTAGATCTTGTCAAAGACATAAGTGCTTTAGTTTCTTCAGTGTGAGTACGACCAAATAAAGGAGATTTTTCCTTAACATAAACACCTTTTAAAGCTTTACTTATCTTTGCTTTAGTTTCTTCAGAAAGTTTATGACCTGAAGAGCTACCTGCTATTTTTAAAGTATTATATCTAGGATTTAATTTATCCATGTAGTATTGCTCTCTTTCAGTTAAATTAGCTAGATCACAGTATTCTAAAATATCTAATGAAAAATTAGAATACCCGTATTTAATTAAAGCTCTACTTATAACAAGAGTTTCTCTATTTTTTAAATAACTAAGGTTAAAATATTTAATAAATCTTTTAGATAAATCTATAGATTGTCCAATATAAATATCATTCGTTATTTTATTGGTTCATTTATATATTCCTGATTTATTTTTATTATCCTTTATAATTATTTTTCTCATAGAAAAGGCATCTTCATAAAACTTTGCACTATTTACTTCAGAAGAAGTACTATAAAACTTTATACAATTCATATTATTCTTAAAACACTTTTGAGTAGGCACAACTTTACCGTGGTTTAAATACTTGTGTGATATAGGTGATTTAGTTTCAATATAATTTCTTACTATTGATAACATAACTCATGCTACAGCAAATAATATTATAACTAAGTAGTACATAATATTATCATGTAATTCAACTAATCCTTCCATTTGAGGAGTAGCACTATCTTGGAAATAAATACCTCAAGGAGTAGGTACATCAAAATTTATATTTAAAATATTTTTAATTAAAAACATACTATATTTATATATATATCTCTATAAAATTTTTCGCTTAGTTATAAATCTATTATAATTTAATTATTTTATAGAATTAGAGATTACTTTTCTATTATTTAATCGATTTTAATAAATAATTGATCGCCTTTTAAAAAAGAATTATTTTAATAGCGGAGCTACTAATCAGGAAAGACTAAGCCTTATATAAAAACCCCATCCTTTTTATCTTGGCTTAAAATAAGTCATTTTTTAGTGCAGTCCACTCACTTTTTTATAAGCAGGCATAATAAGTATAGGATTTATATAGCCAGAAATAAAAAAGAGAACTTTTAAAACTTCATAAAGTTTAACATTCTCAGGACGTACTTTATTATATATAATATATAATCTTCTCGCCATTCTCTCTACAAAGAAAGGATCTAATCAATAATATGCCTTATGATATATTATATTTTTTTAGGTATTTGTTCCAATTTTGAAAGCTTTTTATCTATCTAACATGGTTTTCTGCGCTGAAAACCCCACTTTTTTGAACCACGTAAGAGTATTATAGTATATATAAGGTTTAGTGCCTTATTTAAATTTGAAATAATTATTTTTTTTTCTTTTACGAGTTATGGTAATAATAAAAAAATAAAAAGAAAGCATTCATACCTAAAAAAGCATTGAACAATCAATATTTGAGTAAACTCAAAACTACTACGTTATAACTCCACTATGTTTTAAATATGGATGTTGTACTTGCAATGTTGGTTGCATCATACTTCTAAGTACCTAAAATTTTAGGATTAAACTATAACATGTTATTATCTAAAGTTGAGTGTTAAATCAACCTTTTTATTATGAAACGTAAAGTAATAAGAATGCCATCATTAAGGCAAATAAACCTGTAGCTTCAGAGAAGGCAAAACCTAATATAGCGTAAGAAAATAATTGACCTCTCATAGAAGGATTTCTTGCTACACCTAAAATTAATGCACCGAATACTACACCAATTCCAACTCCTGCTCCTATTAAACCTGTTGTAGCTAAACCTGTACCTATAATTCTTGCTGCTTGTATCATTTTCGATATATACATCTATTAAATCTATTAACATTTTTTATCTAACTATCACTTTTTATACTATAATTACATAAATCCAAAATTTTTTCTTGTATTTTAGCTTTTACTTATTAATTCTGTAACCTTCGAGGATTTTACCTTTAAAATTACAAAACCTATAAATAACAAGACTATTGCACGTAATTTCTAAAGAAATAACTCATATTTATTCTAAAATTACATTAAGAAATAGGTGACTCGAACACCTAACCTTCCGTGTGTAAAACGGTTGCTCTACCAATTGAGCTAATTTCTTTTAAATTAGTATTAAACCATAAATATAATTACAATTATAATTTTTATAAAAAATTTAATACTAAAAAAGGGAGGGGGGGGTAATTCAATAAAAAAAAATTACAGTTTTATTTTAGCTTTTACTTATAAGTTCTGTAACCTTCGAAGATTTTACATTTAAAAGAGTTATAACTTGTCTGCTATCTATTTTCAATGCACTTTTACCTAATTCAAATACAAAACCTATAGTAATAATACCTATAAATAACAAGGCGACTATTAAACCATAAATATTATTAACATATCCACTTACTGCAAAAGGGAAAGTTAAAAGAATTTCTAAATCTAATAATAAATAAACTAAAGCAAAAATAAAGAATTTAACACCAAACTGTGTTCTATTTTGTCCTAAGAAACTATGAAACCCACATTCAAAAATAGAATATTTTTCTTGATAGGGATTATGCGGAGCAAGCAGTAAATTTACAACTAAGAATACTACTGCTAATATAGAAACAAATAAAAAGAAAAAAGTCATACTACTCATTTAACTATTAAATAAAATTTGTACCAATATGGTACCCATACTTAATCATTCTTTGTTCATAAATATAAATAATAAAATTATTAATGTTATACTAGATATTGTAATAGATATAGGACTAGACATAACTATATTATTATATTTAAATTCTAAATTCTGAACTAAACGATCGTTTTTATCATAAATATGACCTGATAATTTACGATCTTTTAATCTAGGATTTATTTTATATTCAGGTTTATAAAAGAAAATTTCTTTTACAACATTAAGATAATAAACTCCACCAACTACACTAGTTAAAACTGCAATTAAAGTTAAGAAAATATAACCACTATCTAAAGCAGCACTTAAAACCATCTGTTTAGCAAAGAATCCTAATAGAGGTGGTATACCTGCAAAAGAAAATATTGTTATAGCTAAACTTAAAGCTAAAAATGGGTTTATATAGAAATAACCTTTTAATTGACTAATTAGCTGAATAGGTGAATTATTTTTATCTAAAAGTTCTTTATGTTCTTTATTTTCTGTAACATAGAAATAGAAAGAGAATCCTATTGTAACTAATATTACAAATGCATTTAAATTACTTATAGAATATTGCATTAAGTAAAAAATGAAAGCTTGAATTGATTCTATACTAGTTATACTTAAAGCTAATAATAAGAAACCAACATGACTTATTGTACTATATGCTAATAATCTTTTTATTCTAAATTGTGTTAAACCTACTACTGTTCCAATAATTAAAGATAATAAAGAACTCATTAGTAAAGCAAAAGTTCAATTATACTCAGAAAAATAATTACTTGTAAAGTAGACTATTTCTAAGAATAGTATAAAGATAGATATCTTGGCTATATTCGCTACAAATGTTGTAACAATTGTAGGGATAGCGTCATAAACATCAGGTGATCAGAAATGGAATGGTGCGGCACTTACTTTAAATAAGAATCCTACACTAAAAATAAGTAAAGAAAAGTTTATATAGTAAGGTTTATATCATGAATCCATAGCACCATCACTGATACTAGTTATTACGTATAAACCATCCATATTTGTAGTTCCAGAATTTGCATATAATAAACTTGTACCAAATAAAATAAAACATGAACTTAAACCACCTAATAAAAAGTAGATTAAACCACCTGTAGTAGCTAATTCTGAATTTCTATATATAGTACTTAATAAATACAAACCATAACTTTGTAATTCTATTGATAAAAAAATAGAAACTAAATCATTAGTAGACATTAAAAAAATGGCTCCACTAACTACAAATAATAAAATTAAAGGATATTCTATTATTTTTAAATGTTCTCCCATCTTATTTATAATCTTTGTTCTATAATAGACAAATTTATAAGATAAAAGATGTCTTAAAGATGAGTGTTCTTTAACTCACACTTTTCTAGGGTAAAAACTAGTTAACTGTAAAATTAACATAGTAATTATAAAAACAAATATATGAAATATTTGTGTTATGTTAGTTAAATGAAGTAAACCTCCATGTAAACCTACCCCTTTATTTATGAAAGATAAACTAACAAAATCCAGTAAAAAACAATAAGCTAAAGCTATAATAGCAATTCTATTAAAAAGTATAGACATATCTCGTCTTAAAGTAACGGCATTAGAAAATAATAAACATAATATTGATAAAATTAGCATAATATAAATTAAATCTGGGCTTATACTCGTAAAACTCTAGTCCCTTATGGGCCTTACCACGGATCCAAGGCTTAAAAAAAAGTAATTTTTGACCGTCCCGGGCTAGGGATAAATCTTTGATTCACACACCAATAAATTTTACTTAACCAGGAGAGAAAATCGAATTCTCGTCTTTAATGTATGAAATTAAGGTTTTAACCTATTAAACTACCCTGATTTTAATGATTTTAATGATTTTAACTTTTTTATTTTTTTTTTTATTTTTTAGTAAATCCAAATTTACCTGCATAATAAATCTAGGATTTATTATGCAGCCCATTCTTGGTAAAAATTAGGGAGGATACCCTGACTTGAACAGGGAACCGACTGTGCCACATACAGTCGCTCTACCGATTGAGCTACATCATCCTTAATTCCCTTTTTTTGCTATAGGGAATTTAGCATATTTATCTTTATAAAATACACTTACTAAATTATCCTGCCAAATATTTTATCATTCGTTTTTTACTTATATTTTAACCCTCGCGGCGACTTACGCCAGCTTTGCCTTTTGTTTTATTTATTTTTTAACCTACATTAAAATAAATAAAACTCTTTATTTTTATTATTAAACAAGGTTAAAAAATAAAAAGGAGTCGCCTGGGTAGCAAAGCAGTTTAAAACAAAATTATTTATTTATTTTTTTTTTATCCTATTAAATACTCTAAATTTATGTTGGAGTGATTCGAACACTCAATAGTAAATACCAAAAATTTATGACTTACCCATTAGTCCACAACATATAGAGAAAGCAGGACTTGAACCTGCATGATCTTGCAACCAGTTAGGCCTAAACTAACCCTGTCTACCAATTCCAGCATTTCCCTTTTTATTTATTTATACATCTCCCCCTGCATAACAGCAGGGGGGAGTAGAAAGTGTGAATACTCTAAAAATAGGTAGATAAAAAGTATATGCACGAATAACCTTATATTTTTGCCCGGAGTGAGACTTGAACTTACAACAAAACCAGCTTCAATGGTTCACTCTACCAATTGAGTTATCCGAGCTTTTATATGGCCTTAAGTGTACTAACACTTTTAATCTTTCTAACCAAATAATAGAAAAAGTCCATACTACCAATATTATATATTTGTATAGGTTAATTGGAGATATTAGGAATCGAACCTAAGATAACGATATGCAAAATCGCAGTTTTACCATTTAAACTATATCCCCTGTTTTTACCAAAGTGAAGCCTTAAAAATTTTCATAGTTTTTGGCTCGCTGCTTTATCTTTAAAGGGCCTTATAATAAAAATATATTTTATTAGCCCTTCGTTCCCTTCCCTTATGGGGACAGGAGCAGTAAAAAAAAATAATTAATTTAAGCTCACATAAGAACTATTACTTTTTCTAAAAAACTTAGTGTTTATTGATTGGCTTAAATTAATTATTTTTTATCAGCCGCTAGCGGCGGCAGAACCTAAATTTTTAGTTATTTTTTTGTGAGGCTGCGGAGTAGATACTAAAAAGGTAAAAAAAAATTATCCGAGAGACGACTTGAACGTCTACGATTATTCATCAACAAAGCTTAAGTTTGCACTGTCTACCAATTCCAGCACTCGGATTTTATTGTATAAAATATTGATTAAGGCTAAAGTGACTTGAACACTTATATTTACCATTATGAGTAGTACACTTTACCAATTAAGTTATAGCCTCTAGTTACATTTAACTTTAAATCAGTTAACATATAAACGAATAACATAATCCCTAAATTATTAGAGATATTATTACTTATCACAGTTTTGCACGCGGAAAAAGGACTCGCACCTTTATCTTTTGATCATGAGTCAAATATGTTACTGTTACACTAAACCGCATTTATTGTAGTTTTATTTAACTATATGTTCATCCTTTTTTTTCGACTATATAAATATTGGGTTTATAATGCCTGCGGTAAAAAAAAATAATTTAATTTAAACTCAAACCATTGTATTTTTATAAGACTTAGTATTTCTTAATGAGGTTTAAAAGGATTATTTTTGTGCGAGACCTGCTGATAAAAAGATCATTTAGATTAGACGGGGATCGAACCCGCGATAGTGGCTTTGAAAGAGCCATGTCGTACCACTTGACCACTAATCCTTAATAAAATAAACTTGTCTTATCGCCTTTAAAAAAAGAATTCTTTTAATAGCGCAAGATCATATCAAATTTTTTTGATTATTTGCTCTTTATAATATTTATCATAAGCTAAAGATTATACAACAATGCTCTAAATAAAAATAGTCTTTAATTAGCCCAGTGCAAGTATCGCACTTGCTTCTATTGATTACAAAACAATTGCATTACTTTTATGCTAACCAGGCATAAAAAATAGTAGATATAAACAAAATATTTAGTGATTTATAAAATTAGTACTTTATTCCTTAAAATCTCTTGATTCTTACAAATAAAGCCTATCTCCATAATAAAAAGAAGGTTAACCCTACCTTTATATTATGTTTGTAATGTTCTATTACGTATATTTAAGAAATATCTTAAGGTAAGCTTCGTGCCTATATGCTTTCAGCACTTATCTTTGACTAACATAGCTTTCCTGCCGTGCCTATATTATCATAACTACTTAAGTGAAAGTAGGGTAGTCCTTTACCGGACATATAAACAACAGGTAAACCAGAGATTAATAATTCTATTATTTCAATATTAATAAATTAATATTCCAAGTTCCTTTCGTACATAGGTTATTCCTTATTATATTCTAATTCCCTCTAGAAGATAGAAACCATACTGTCTCACGACGTATTTAACCCAGCTCATGTAACTTTTTAATCGACGAACAGTCGTACCCTACATAGTTTCTGCATCCATGAGGATAAGTTAAGCCGACATCGAGGTGCCAAACCGCGCACTCATTTTGCACACTCTTGCGCAAATTAGCCTGTTCAATTTGTTATCATAAAGCCCTACGCTTTTATTTCCACTTTTTACAAAATGGTTCAGACTATTTCTTCATTTTTATTTCTGTATATTTCACTTATTTCAATTCCGAAATATCACAAGCAATGCTTGCGAATACATTTAAATTATTTTCCGCTAAATCAACTTTTCACTCCAAAAGATCCAATACGACGTTTAGAATTTAATCTTGATCTTTCTACATTTGAGTCAAGATAACCTCTAAACACGACAGTTGATAATCCTTTGAATGAAGAATCTATATTTTTAAGTCCTCCTTTTCATTTTAATTTATATACAGCTCTGTCCGCTCTATATCTTTTAGTTAATCTACCTTTAACAATTAATCTTGCACCACCCATAACTTTATACTTAATATTTTCAAAAATAATATCTCTTAATTTTGTAGAATAAGCTTTATTTAAAGATGAACTTGATTTATTAAATTCAGTAGTGCTTACGCCTGAATTAGAGTTTTCAATTATATTTTTATAGTATAAATTGTATAATAATTTGTTTAAATTATCTTTAAAAGACTGTGTGTAAACTCCAGTATTGTTTTCTGCGGCTCCGCTTACAGAAAACTTATTTATGATAAAGTTTATATTAGTATTACCATATTTATTTTCAATCAAATTATAATCAACTTGTTTTTCTATTCTTCCTTTTTCTATTATTCTATTTACCTTAGGTAAAACAACTTTAGCTAATAAAGAATTTATTCTACGCATTGGGTTTGATTTTTCTTTTTTAACTTTTAAAGTTAATATTTCAGTGAAAATATCGCTATTATAAGCTATATTTTTTATATTTATAATGTTAAATTCTACTTTTTTACCATAATATTTACTAACTAATTCACTTAATTTATTCAAAAATCTTTCTTCGAATTTGTTTTTATTTAAACTTAATCTTAATCTTAATCTTTTAACTAAAGAAAAGAATTTTCGAACTTTTTTTGAAAAAAAGAAATTACGACTGTAATATGTTTTATTTAAATAGTTTCTACGATTTTTAGCTTTATATTTTAATAATAACACTAAGTTAGTATCAAGATTTGTTGCGGCTCCGCCTATCAAAAAAGATAGAGTCTTAGATCCTACAACTGAAATAAATTTCAATCATTTTTTAGCAATATTATTAATATTTCTTATAAAAAAGAAAGATCTTAATTGTTTAATTTTTTTTAACAAAGATATTCTTTCTTTATTATAAACATAAACAGTTATTAAAGCTTTATTGTTAGTATGCTTTACTTCTGCTTTACTTACAAATATTTTGTTCAAAGATTTACGTTTATTTCTTTTTGGTATATATTTGCTTTTTAAAAATCTACTATTAAAATATAAGCTAAAATAACCTTTTATTAAAGAATTTATATTTAAATCATAAACAGGTAAATTTATACTATTGTTTGAGTTAAAATTATAAATAGTGTTTTTTCATTCTTTAGACACTGCTGGTAAATATTTAACATGACCTACATGATTAGTAATTGATTTAAATGGTACTAATTTATAATTATTGTTGGTCTTTTTAGTAAAAATAGATGGACTTGCATCTTCTAATATAATATTATTATTTTTGATCATCCTCATAAAATTATAAAAAAAAATTTAATTTTAAATACATAATAAAAATGTTGGGTACTATTAAATAGGACTATTGTTTGCTTAAAAACTCACCTAGTAGTCGTTGAACGATTTTATTTCTTTTTTATGCCCTGGTTAAAATCTACGATTTTAAAAGACCTAGCCCGCATAAATTTCTTATTTATGTGGGCGTAAGGGCGAAAGGCTAAAATAAAGTTCGCTTCAAATTTACTTCTTTTGACCAGAAGTTATCTTTGAAATTCACCCAATTTAATCTCAATGTTTTCTGCTCTTTAAAAATTCATAATTTTTAATAGCCAACATTGAAGGACAAACAAACATCCCTAGCGTAGCTTTTCCAAAAATCCAAGACCTTTCGTTGTTGTGTCTTGTGATCCTATGCCCCGCTTACGCGACTGTAAGACTTGTTGGTGGTCAAACAGTAAGGCAAGATTTAGCCATTAAACTTGATAAGTATCTTACATAACCTATTATATATGCTTGCGCTTTATATAATAATTAATAAGATGTTAGAAAAAACTTCTCGTAACATCTTAACTACGACTAATTTCTCAATAGTTTAAATCCTACCTACAAAAAAATTCTCCTCCTTAATACCCTGCAAATCTACACTGAAACAACAGCATCTATTTACAGAAAAGCAAGAATTAGTAAATATAAGGAACTTGCGCCCCTTATATTTAGGCTTGTACATCTATACATAAATAAGATAGAATATAGCTAGCTATATAGCCGTGCTATCTACTATTACAAACAAACAAATATTAGCAAAACTAATATTTTATTTAGTGATACATCTATTGGCGATAAACGCCTAAACAAACATAAAACATAGTTGGACACACCCATTTACTCTTTGTGGGGTCTGTGCCCCGCATAAACTGTCTCCTAGCAATTTTTCCTTTCTAAGGTTACATTCTTTTCCTTTTTACAGAAAAGACGGGGATTAAATAATCCTCACAATACGATCCCCAAATAAAGGTATTACATTTGTATCTTATCAATTACCTTATTTACTGATATTTGTCCCCAACCGTACCTAATAATTAGTAACAGTAAAGCTGCATAGGGTCTTCTCGTCTAACTAGAGGTAAACTGTATCTGCACAGTTATGCCAATTTCACTGAGTCAATCATAGAGACAGCTGTTGTATCGTTACATCATTCATGCAAAGACTGCATTTAACAGTCAAGGTATTCCGCTACCTTAGGACCCTCACGCTAAGGCCGCCATTAACCGGGGGTTCCTACAGTACCAAACTTTTTAAAGTCAGTTATTTTCGTTAACCAGCCGGCACCGGGCAGAAATCACACTCTATACTTAGACTTAAGTCGTATGCAAAGTGCTTTGTTTTAATTAAACAGTCGTACAACAATATTTCATGCTTCTTCCTTCTTACCCGTGGTTTTTATTACCGTAATAATAAAAGATCTCACGGGACGAATGAGCCCTCCTTATCCCTAAGTTACGGAAGTTAGTTTGCCGAGTTCCTTTATGATTGTTAGCTCATTTACGCCTTCGTATACTACACTAGCTTACTTGTCACAGTTTCTAGGTACGGTTTTTTTTTCATCTTTATATAGTCATTTCTTATATATAGAGATATATTACTTAATTTTTCCTGCACACTTTTCACTTTAAAAATGTTGTCATTTAAGTAATAAGATTTTCTCATCGTTTCAACCTTTGGAAGTGAAAACTTAGAGGCCGTTACTTTAATTAAACCATAAGCTTTAGGCGAGTGTTCGAACTTAAGTTCGAACTTCTTTTTTGTTACTCATGTCACCATTCTCTCTTGAGTTTGCTGTGATGATTTATAAATTATCATCAGCTTCATCTTTCGACGAAGTCGCATCCATCGTAAAAACGATGGAATGCTGCAGGTTTACCCAATGTTCTGCTACCCCAGTAAAAGATTATAATTAAAAGCTTACGCCTTAATTATCTAAATTTATAATCACTTATGGACAAGGTATCGGTATATTGTTTAGATCCGTTAAATTTTCGATGCCTTTAAAAATTAACAAGCGCTCTGTTACGAGGTCTTTGAATTATGGCTGCTTCTAAGCCCATCTCCTTGTCGACTTAAATAAAAACTTTCTTAATTTCACTTAACAATAATTTCGGAACCTTAACACTTGTTCTGGGCTGTTTCCCTTTTGACATACAACCTTATCATTCTATGTCTGATAATTTAAGATTCATTTTTGCCATTTCGAGTCTACAAACTCACCGATAAAATCTCTACGATCCCCCGATATGTACAAAGTAAGATGTCGATTTAACTAAAAGTTCCCGGCATAACCGACAAACCTTTAATCAAATTTAATACACCTTGTCTGAGATGAAGTTCTGTACCTGCTAAAATGTTACTTAAATTGCCTACTATTATAGGTTTCGCAGAAAACCAGCTATCTAGGTCAGTTTTGTCTTTCACTATACTTACCACAATTCCTCCGATATTTTTGCTACAATAACCGGTTCGGACTTTTATACTCCTGATTGTAGTAAGATCACCTAGCTTCGGGTCTAACTTTAGACACTAATTCATTTGATTGATCATCGTTTTAACTA